TATTTGTCAAACTCCACCTTTGAAACCGGTTTTTAAATAATGCAGGGACTACAAACTAATCCCCCCTCAAACAAGGAAAGTATTGATTCCCTAAACAGGTTACATTTCCTTACTCTTTAAAGAGAAACAGTGTAATTCAAATGAAGGGATCAGTGGAAATGTGGTTCTTTTAGAGCTTTTCATCTTGTGTTAAAGTTGATTTTTTTGTGTATTTGGAGTCAATTTGAGATATTCTGTATTCCTTTTCCTTAACTGATTAATAGCAAATGAAGACCAGTCATAATAACTATTCATAAGGCAGATTAATCAGAGGTGTGAGAGTCATTGCTAGCAGACTTAGTTTAGTCACAGAGCAGGTTGTGCTTGTGGTTTCCACTCCTCTACTGGGAAAGCTTGTCGTTTCCAGCCGTCTGAGACCATCAGGAGGCGGTTTTCTTACTTCTGGAGGGAGTAGAAGAGCGGGGCGATGAGCAGCAGCACCAGCAGCAGCACCAGGGCGGAGACCAGCCCCGACACCTGCGTCTGGCAGCCCGTGGACTCCTTCACCAGCGTCTTCATCAGCGCGGCGCTGGTGGTGAAGCAGCGGAAGAAGGAGGGCAGGATGTTGCAGAAGCCGAGGGCGTACATCTCCTGGTTGGCGTCCACCGTGTAGCCGTGCTTCTTGGCGAACATCTCCGACAGCGACACCGTGATGGCGAAGCCCACGATGGCGATGGAGAAGGCGTCCAGCGCCACGCTGGGGATGAGCGACCACAGCGGCAGCTGCGGGGGCAGGAACCCGGTGGGGATGTCGCCCGCCACCCCCGAGCCGAACTCAGTGTGGAAGCCCCCGAAATGAGACGCCAGCGCGGCCAGGATCACCACGAACAGCTCGAAGGGGATGGGAGCCTGGGAAAGAATAAAGACCCCAGAGGACACCGGTCAGGCCAAAGGGAAGAGGGAAAGGGAAGAGGGAAGAGCCAAAGGGAAGAGGGAAAGGGAATAAAGACCCCAGAGGACACCAGTCAGGCCAAAGGGAAGAGCCAAAGGGAAGAGGGAATAGGGAAGAGCCAAAGGGAAGAGGGAAAGGGACGAAAGACCCCAGAGGACACCAGTCAGGCCAAAGGGAAGAGGGAATAAAGACCCCAGAGGACACC